CAGCCGCCTTCTGTTGTTGCCATTTGAAGCTGTCTTTCTTGTTGTCTGTTTGCTACTTTGTCTCATTAAACATTTGAAAACAGAGAGGAACTCACAGCATGATGCACATTACACACATCAAATGTGTAAAGCAAATGAAGCGTATATCTTTATTTATATACATATATGTATATAACATGTCCCGTGTGTGTCAGGAAAAACTTATTATACTGTTAAATGCGTTTGCTTAACTGCCAATTTAATTAAGGTTATGCTTTTGTTCTGACCCAATCCCTAATCTGCCAGCTGAGCTTGTTCGCTCCATGTCCCTGCCTCACCCAAAAAATTGTTCCAACATTTGTGCAATTACAAAAGTTGTCCCACTTTAAGCCCCCTGTGGCCATGTTACATTACAGAGGGGTATATAAGGGTTAAGGTTTGCCAGAGGGGCGGGAGTTAAAACGGTTAGCGGGTCAGACATTGCCTAAAACGCAACGCGACAGCATGAAAATTATGTAAAATAAGTACAATGTGCACTTTGCACTTGGCCGAGCATGGCACAGTGAGTGCAAAAAGTTTTCTCATTTGTGTTAAGTGAATCAAAATATTAGTTAGTTATTAATTAGGATTAAAAAATTCCACTTGGTTACCTTGTAGGGTTAGTAAATAGTATTTAGATAAAGAAAAGCTTTTAAAACTAAAATATATTATATTGAGAAGGAAGTTAAAAAGTGTTTAATATATCATATTTAAAATTATAAAAAAATTGTGGAACATTTTATAAAGCTTAAATTAAAGTTAGTTAAGGTATTATTACTAATAATTTATTAGTATCAAAATATATCCCTCGTAATTTACAAGGATTTTATATAAGAAGAAATATATATTATATGTAGGTAAATAATTTATAATTGTATTCCCAAAATATTTACAATTCTTTTGGATATGTTTTCCTTTGATAAATTATGTGTCTAAATAATTAATGTGCAGTTACATATAACCTTTTAAATAACAACTCGAAACTATTACTATATATCCAGTTAATAATATTTTACCTCTTTTTCTTGTTCACTCAATTGTGTTTGAGTTATTACAACATTTGTAAATTGGCGAAATTTGTTTGTTATTTTTATTAAAAAAAATATATATATATATTTAATTGCTTCCATTATTGCAGTTTTTTCTCAGTCACTGTTAAAAAAAAAAATACTACAAAAATCGTGTGACAACAGCAATTACAATTACACATCGCACACAGAGCACATTGGGGCCGCAGTGGTCGCAGTTTCAGTTGTTGTTGTTGTTGCTGCTTGTGCTAGTTGCTATCCTTTTTGTTGTCCTGATGTTGCGGTTAAAGTAGCAACAACAATAAAAACAATAAAAATAACTACAAGGATGGCCAGCAGGCACCAGAGCCTCGATGATGGGGCAACGAATATGAACATGTAATTACGTTTTAAGTGCTAAATTGTAAAATATTTACGGAAAAACTATGTTAACTTAATTGAAATTTAATTGAATATGTCATAAATGTGTGAACAGGAGAAGCAATAACAACAACAACAACAACAACAACAAGGATAACAAGGGCAGCGATGCAGGCAAGCAACACGAACATGGCCGACAAACTGTTGGTCAATGCGGTTAGCAGTCAGCAATCAGGATAAACCCATGGATCTGGATTCAGGGGCGGTGTGCGAATGCCCCTTAGCTTGGCAAAAACTTGGCATTTAAATGGTTTTGGCCATCGCATGGAATGCAAAGCCGCGAGGCATTTATCATTCTGTGCGGTTACATGGCGGCGTCGTCCGTTGTATTTGGTCTCGTGTGCTGCCACTAATAATGACGTCAGCAGCATGCAGACCATGAAATTTATGCACACCCCACAGCTCGAGTTGAGTGTGTGTGTGTTGTGTATGTGCTTGTGTTCCCGGGCCTGTTCTATATGTGCATATATTCCGGCGGCCAGCAAACAGAATTCGACAGAATCAGCCGAAGCGTTGGGTCAGTGCCATGAAGATTAATGTCCGGGCGCCATTTGTCGGTGGGGCCTCTCTACAGTTTTCGGTTTGGTTTTATTACACTGAACTGAAATGCTCTAAATTTGTAATTATTTTTATAAAATGTACTAATTTTGACCAGGTTTTTGGTGGCAAGGTCTCACTAAGTATTTTATATGTGGAATTGGTTCTATAATCTTCTTATTATTTGAAAAAACCAGCTAATTATGTTATTACTTTGAGAAAAAGCCAAGCAAGCAAGACATTTTAGAAAGTAGGACCATATGCTAGAGGTGAGAACATATTTTAACATTATTTTTAGCTACCAGGTCACACTTAGCTTATTAATTCTTTGGCTGGCTACTTTTTTGTTACTGGTTTACAATAACAATTCGCTGAAATATCTTTTTGTTGTCCAAAATAAAACAGAAAAAACTTTGAAATGCCCAAAGAATTCTTGTCTCTTATTTTAAATAATTTTTTTATATTTTATTCCCATTTCTATGGCTCCATTTTCCCTCTGTGTATAGGCTTCATTGTGCGGGCAAATAGTAAAGGAGAAATCCTCTGGCATTGCTGCTCAGTTCACTTGCTGCTCGTTTCTCCTTTTTCCGTGTTCTTTGTTTTATTTGCCTCCATCCAACACTGAACCCTCCGCCCCCCCACACCCGTAAATACTGTTGGCACTTTGTCTTAATTGCTTAAAAATTACTGACATGGAAAATGAACTCGGAAAATGTTAACCATGGTCGCCTAGGTCCCCTGTCTTCTACCAAAAGCCCGCAGCATCTCTTTCGCATTGTCAACGATTTGGCTAACAGCCCTAACGGCAAATACTTGCAAATATTATTGTAGTCGAATGTCGCCAACTATTTATCATTCCGGCACAGTTTTCGGGGGCAAAAAACACAAGAGGATGGAGACCATTTGACAAACTTAATTTATTAATGCACTACGCTCCTATCTCCGGCTCCAGCTTCCTGCTTCCAGCTTCCAGCCTGCTTGCTTAAAAGCACATTAATTTTCATTTCACTCTCGGTGATAAAACAAAGACTTTCCATTTTAAATATCTAGTGACAACTAACAAATAAAATGTGCCCCTAAGACCTCTTCGGGTAATTGTTTTGCCCTCCGCAGCGCCCTACAGGATGCCAAGGCTTTAGCCAGAGTCCGGAGTCCGGACCTGAGGCCTTTTATCATCACGATGATGTGGCACCCGGGCGAATCATCATCGCTGCTGTCATGCCTCGTCATTTGCATACTCGTTGCGAGCATTGGAGTGGTCCATGGTTCCTCCTCCTCCTCTGCCTCCTCCACCTCCTCCTCCTTCAAATACAATCATAATGTGAAGTGGGACTTGGGCATTTTCTTTCTGGGTGTGTCCGGCTGACAGGCGAGTGGCATTTGCGAGCGAGGTGCCAATAGATGGAGCCCTATCTTGTCTCTGTTCTGGATGGAATGCCCCCCGAAAAGCCGGGGCTTCGGCTGATTGATATGCATGCGAAATCTAAGCATCACTTGGCTTTGTTTATTGACAGGCAATTTGCGGAGCCAGGCGCTTCAATTTGCCAATTGACAGCCACATCACAGCGGGCATTCAGCGGGTATTTTCTCAAATGAAATTATACCTGACCGCTGAAGAAATGCTCAGGCATACTTATCAAGTTTATATTTCTTTTTATTTTTAGAATAAAATGGTAATCCAAGACGGTAAAGGAAATATTTTTCTTTACATTTTAAAACTTACAAAAATGAAATATTTTCTGTAATGAAAATATCATCTCTAGAGTCATTAATTTATCCCAAATTTATTTTTTGAAAACCCCCTTCCTGACGCCCATCTAATTACCTTAGTCCTTGTTTATTTTCTGTGCGTATTTATGCGGTGACCTTTTAATGAGCTGCGGCCACCCGCATATTGCGTATACGCCACGTTGCAGTGCGGCAAAGAAAGCGATTTGCATTATTTATGGGTGAACTGGTTGGTCTAATTGAAACCACCAAATAATTGGTCCCCGCATCGACCTGCAGCAGCAGCTTAGCCAATTAATGCGGCCATATAATTTCAGAGGGGAAGCTCAGTTTCCAGTTTTCAGTTTCCTAATAAAATGAAATTACCAAACATTTTTGGGGAATTACAACACAGAAAGGTCCCTGGCCCTTGCATTTGAGTGTGTTCATTAAACACACTCACATAAACACACACACACACACACACACACACTCATACACAACTGGCAAAAGTGTCATGGCCCCTGTGGGTAAGCAGGGGCGAAATGCATTACGTATACGCCATGTGCGGGCCGATTGGAAAATTGCGCCAATCTTGCAGCTAAGTGGCCATAAAACTGCCAGCCAGCCCAGGCCACACCAGGACAACTATATTTCCACACATACTACACTAAACAGGGTGCGGGGTGGGTGGTTTGTTTAAACTACGTTTCGCTGGCATTTTCCACGCCTGCTGCCATGGCAACCATTTTGCTCCCCCATTGTCATTGGCGGCAAGTGCACGAAAATTAGCCGGCATTCGGGATGCTTGACAATAAAATTGACATTTGGATCGACAACGAGTGAACTTCGCGTTGAATAATGCAATTCGTTTTTCACACACAGCGTTCAGGGTTTTTCCATTTTCCTCGTTGTGTTTTTTAATCGATTGATTGAAATGTTTGCTGCAAATTGATTGATGGCATGCAGTCAGCCCAGCTCCCATATATGTGTGTGTACATTTTAAATTGATATATAACTGCAGGAGGTCTCGGAAAGTATCTTGAAGTGTCTATAAAAAGACACACATCCTGGAGGCTGGCCCGAAATGTTTACAAGTTATCTGCCTGTTTTATATATATATATTTTTTTTCTGGATTTGTAAAGAGATTTGACATGTTAAAAACTTGATTGATTGATTCGCTTAACTGCCACGCTTATTCTTTTTTGGAGTTCCCCTCAGCTTAGGTCTTGTCTTACACATCCAGCAAGCAATTTATCAACAATTCGGGGTACTAAGTAATTACTTACCGATCCACGGCTATGGCCACCAGATGCAAAATCGAGGCTGTGCAGCAGAGGACATCGCAGGAGGTCCAAATGTCGCAAAGTTCGGGACCCAGAATCCAGCCTTGGCTGATCTGCAAAGGAAAGGAAAACGACCAAAATAGTTCAGTAAAGTTGGTTACTCAAATACTCTAGACAATAAAAGTTAATGATGGCTTATTAAATTTGATGCTCACTGCGGTAGTGTGAGCCCCAGTGGCAGTGTAAAATGTAATGGCCTCTAATAACAAAGCAAACAAGGAATTAAAGGATTCCCCAACATAAAGGTTCAAGTGTCGAACCAAAAGGTTCACAGTTAAAAAACAGCAGCAGCCATGGGGAGTCGTTACCATCTACAGACTTGGCTACTCTTCAGTTTTATTCTGGCCAGTGGCCAGCTGGAGATACCTCTGGATCAGGGTGAAACGTATGAGTACCTGGAGCAGAATTTAGCAAGCCTTTTTAGTGCTATCGACCCATTAAACTATTACCTGCGGTTCCACTGCTTCATCACCTACACGGGAACCTTTGATCTGAGACCCTCCCTTGAGCAGCGTCTCATGGAGCGCTTTTCGGTGCCTATTTATTCAGTTGGATTGCGGAAAGGACCTCGGAATCATAGCTATCCTAAAGCTCGAAATATGGTAATCATTTTATTTAGCGGCCTGAATGATCCCACACTGGCTGCCCTCAACGACACGGAGCTCTCCAAGGGCCTTCCCTACTTTAGCTTTCTGTACATTCCACCTCGCAATGTCAGTGGAGTCTTGAACAAGGGCGAAATGCTGGAGTTCTTCTCCTGGTGCTGGGAACGAAAGTTCCTTCGCTCGATGCTTTTCCTTAGGGGCGAGTCCGAAGTCGAGGTTTGGTCGTATTTTTACTTCAAAAATATAACCATGATGAAGCTCAGTGAGGCAGGAGCCTTGAAAAGTAACTTGCGAAAAAGTGGCTTTAGTTTTTATGTACAAGTTGCCAACGATTTACCATCTATTTTTTGGGTGAGCATTAAGAGTAATTGCTATTAAATATTTTAGATATGTAATATAATAATTCTGCAGTACAACTCATCGGAGCAAGCGAACGTTATAGGCGGCGGAAATATACGTCTGTCCGGACCCGTTGGCACTATGATAGAGGAGTTTATGCGTTACCTCAACGTCACCATGGAAATTCTTCCCCTCAACGAGTCGCAGAGCTCAAACTACGAGGTATTTGAGGTATCCAGTGATCGGAGAGTGGACATGGTGGGCAATCTAGTGGCCAACGATAGCTACCAATACAGTCCCGTTGTGATGGAAACACAGATGTGTCTGGTGCTGCCGCTTCGCCGGATGATACCCTTTAGCAGATATTTCCACAAGACAGCAACGCCTTTCGTTTACCTTTGCATCATAGTAGCAGCCGTGTGCGTCTTTGGAGTCAAGTACTTGGCCCATCATCGTCGATCCTTGATGGAGCCGCTCCTAAGCAGCCTTCGTTTCTTTATTGGCATTCCCCTGCCTGGCGGTCAGCTGGATCGATTGCCTCTGGCGGACAAGATACTGGAGGTCTACATCTTCCTATTTGTGGGAATAATGATCGGTGCCAGTGTCTCCATACTAAGTACAATCCTGACCACGGGCATTTATTATCCACCCATTACGGATGTGGAATCGATGCGAGCCAGTGGTCTTCGCATTCAGACCACCGATTCCACAGTAAAACAGGTCTTTGAGGATAATCAAAGGCTTAGATCGTTGGCTGATCTGGTGGATGTAACGGATGAGCAGATAGTTTACAAGAACTTTATCACACTGAATGACAACTATGCCTATGTGGTGCCCACTCACAATTGGAAGGGTTATCGGTTGTATCAGCAGCGTCTGAATAATAAGCGGTTCGCTATCTCTGGACCCGAGCTGTGCTCCCATGCCCGTCAGCTGCGTTTGCCCATCTCGCCGTACTCGCCTTTGAGGTTCTACTTTTCGGACTACTTTTATAAGGTTTTCGAGTCGGGACTCCAGCGGAAATGGCTGGAGATGGGCTTCCAAAAAATTCGCGAAGCTCGGAAAATCTTGAAATTACCCGTGGATGAGGCAAATAATTGGAAGCCGCTGAACTTGGAATTCTTTTCAGTATTTATAAAGGTTTACATAGGTGGCATGCTATTGAGCACAGTGGTATTTATCCTGGAGCTGCTCCACAAGAGATACATTAAGCGATAAGCACTTTTACCTAACCTTTTTATATACCCCAAGTTGTAATCTCAATGTTTGCTTTTGTAACGAATAAAACCAGCACTCTTTGCGCTTTTTATTAGCACCTCGAACAGGACCCCGAAGCATACTTAAATATTATGTCTTCTAATAGCAAAGCAAATAGGGATTTTAAGGACTCCTCTATAAATTTTCAAAAGCAAAGCTTAAGGCTTACAGTCAAAAGAAAACATCAGTCATGGAAAGTCGTTACCATCTAAGGACCTGGCACTTACTCAGCCTCATCCTAGTCAGTATCTTTATCCTAAACACCTGCTCTTTAAAGATTCCACTGGAAATCGGAAAAACTAATGAGAAACTGGACCAGGATGTTAATGAGTTTTTCAATGCAGTCGAAGCACCCTTACGATTCTTGGGCTGCCAAAGCATTATTGCCTACACTGGAAACTTTGATCTGCAACCTTCTCTCGAGCAGCGTCTAATGGAGCGCTTTACGATTCCCATATACACAGTTAAATCCCACAAAGGGCCGCTGAATCGACGCTATCTGGAGGCTGAGACACTTGTAGTTGTTATGTTCTCTGGCTTCGATGATCCAACACTGGATGCTCTCAATGACACAGAACTTGCATATGGTTTAAAACTAAGCTTTGCTTTTTTCTCCACCAAACCTTTGACATTGAAAGAGCTAAGAGAGTTTTTCAACTGGTGCTGGGAAAGGAAGTTCATTAGATCCCTGGTCATGTTCCAGGGTGAGTCTGAGTTCGAGACTTGGATTTTCTATAAACTACAAAAACTGGTTGTCACTAAAATTTCAAATGGCGGAAGTGTTACAGACTTTTTTCGAAGAGAAGTATATAAATTTCATGTTCAAGTGGCTAATGATATGCCATCTATATTTTGGGTGAGCTGGAAGATGGGAAACTTATATATATTTTATATATATATTTTTTTAATATTTAAAAATATTTTGCTTTCCCTTTAGTACAACTCATCGGAGCAAGCGGATGTGATTGGCGGCGGCAACATCAGTCTGTCCGGACCTATTGGCATCATGATGGTGGAGTTCATGCGTTACCTTAACGCCACCATGGACATTCTAGCAGTTCCAGAAGCGCAGAATTCAAATTACGAGTTCCTCGAAGTGGGCAGTAATCGGCCAGTCGATATGGTGGCCAATCTGGTGGACAACGATAGCTACCTCTTCAGTCCAGTAGTGAGGGATACCCAGACCTGTCTTCTGGTACCACGTCACAGGATGATTTCGGAAGGCAGATATTTAGACAAGGTGCTAGATTCCCGCTTGTACTACCTACTTTTGGCCACGTTCATTATGGTGCTTGTGGTTAAGTACCTTGCCCATCGACGTCGATCGCTGGTGGACTCGTTATTCGGCTCAATCCGATTTCTGTATGCCATTCCCCTGCCCGGTGGCCAGTTGGATCGATTGCCTTTGGCGGACAAGATAATCGAGGTCTACTGTTTCCTGTGGGTGGGAATCTACGTCACCACCTGTGTCTGCGTGCTGAGCAGCGCCCTGACCACGGGAATACATTATCCGCCTATCAAGGATGTGGAGTCGATGCGAGATAGCGGACTTCGGATTATGACAATGGATCCCACCATATTGCAGGCATTTAAGGATAATGTAATGCCCACCTCGCTGGAGGACCTGGTGGACTTGGTGGAAGCGCGGGTGCGTAGACAGCAATTTTTGAGCTTAAACCAGAGCGTCGTCCACGTGGCACAAACACACAATTGGCCAGTACTTCGGTTATATCAGAATCGTCTGAGCACCAAGGGTTTTTCGATTGCTGGACCTAAGCTCTGCTCGAAAACACGCCACCTGAGGTTACCCATCTCACCCTACTCGCCACTGAGACACCTTTTTAATGATTACTACTCCAAGATTGTGGAGTCGGGCCTGCAGCAAAAATGGCTGATGACGGGTTTCCAAAAGTTTCGTCAAATATTGGGAATCACAAAGTTACCCTTGGATTCGGAAAAGGAATTTAAGCCACTGACCTTGGCATTTTATTCAGTGATTATAAAGATTTACCTAGGCGGTATGCTCATGAGCACTTTGGTTTTTGTAATGGAGATTCTCTATAAGAGATACCATGGCTAGAGATATAAGTATCTAGAGATATAAGATATAAGAATCTAAATTTAAGCTTTTTGAAATTATTATGAATGTCTAACAAATACTCCTAATAAATCCAGCACCTCCCGCTTTTTTAGTAGCACCCCGAAAGGGACACCCAAAAGCATAGTTTAAAGTAATGTCCTCTAATAACAAAGCAAACAAGGAGATATTCCAAGGACCTTTTAACATATAGAAAGGGGTAAACGAAGCGTTACAGTTGAGAAACAATAGCAGCCGTGGAGAGTCGCTTCTATTTATGGACTTTACTCCTCATCAATAGCCTAATTCTGGCCAAAGGACAACTAAAGATTCCTCTGGGAATCAGCCAATGGGATAAGCAGCTGAACAACGATATTGACAACCTTTTGCGTACTCTAGATGATATCAATCGATCCATAAAATGCTACAGTATTGTAGCTTTCTCAGGAAACTTCGATCTTAGACCTTCCCTGGAACAGCGCCTGATGGAGCACTTCTCAGTGCCTATATATACGGTTGGAGCCAGGAGAGAACCTTTTAAACACCGCTATCCGAAGGCCAACAATATGGTAATCGTTTTATTCAGCGGCCTGGAGGATCCCACTCTGGCTACTCTCGACGACCAGGAACTCTCCGATTTCAATAACTTCCTCGGCTTTCTTTATGTTCAACCGCGCGAGAATATCCAACTCCTGACCATGGCTGAGATGGAGAAATTCTTCAACTGGTGTTATGAACGAGAGTTCTATCGCGTTTTTCTTTTCTTCAATGGCGAGCACGAGTTCGAGACTATTACTTCAACAATTTGACCGTGACAAGGTACACTAAGGGAATCAGTTTTGAAAATGTTATCCGAAGACAAGGGCACAGATTACTTGTGCAGGCTACCGACAATCCTCCAGAAATTTTCCTGGTGAGTATCGAGAGGGGATTTTTTGTATAATACCTAATGCTCTCCTACGGCAGTACAAATCATCGGTAGAAGCGAATGTTATTGGAGACGGAAACAAGAGTCTGTCTGGCCCTGTTGGCATCCTGATGGTGGAGCTTATGCGGTACCTCAACGCCACCATGGAGGTCCTTTCGATCCCACACAAGCAGAATGTTAATTATAATACCCCCAAGGTGGCCAGCAATCAGAGAGTGGATTTAGTGGCTAACCCAGTGGCCAACGATAGCTTTGTGTTCAGTCCCATTCTGTCGCGATCTCAGTTGTGCCTGCTGGTACCACGTCGCAGGACGATTCCCTTCAGCAGATATTTTGACACAGTGATGTCGACTGGTTCGCACTGGATATATTTTTTGGTTGTAATTTTCGTGTGCGCGGTCAAGTATTTAGCTTATCGTCGTCGATCGCTGGTGGATTCATTTCTCAGTAGCCTTCGATGGAGCCTAGGAATCCCCCTGCCCGGCGGGTCTTCAGCAGAAATGGGAGCGGATGGCCTTTCAGGACTTTCGGAATTTTGCTGGCATCCCAAATTTGCCCCGAGATACGGAAGGGAAGTTAAAGCCGCTAACCTTGTCTTTTTATTCCCATTTTATAAGGGCTAAGGCCGCGCGCACACTACGAGCTGAAAGCGGAGCTGACGGCTGACGGCTTATCAGCTCTCTGAAACAAACACACTACTTGTATGAGAGCGCGCACACTGAGAGCGGAGCTGAAAGCTGATAAGGTCAGCTCCGCTCCGCTCTGTTTGATCAACCAAACATGTTTGATTTTGTTAGCAGCTGACGCGAGCTGATTTTTTAGACTATTCTTTAAAAAATTGCCCTAATTAGCGCTTAAGTAACAGAAATTTAAATTTCTGTCCAGTTATATAGAAAAGTATGAAGAATTTTTTTAATATTTATTAAAATAAAAATATTGTCAACTTTCCGAGATACAGGGTGCCAAAGTACACTAAAAAAACGTACTTTGTCAACCATATTCTGGAGAACTGGGTGGTCCGATTTCGAAAATTTAAATGTCATGATGATCTAAATAAATATGTCATCGCATTAACAACGATATTTTAAAAATATTCAAGAATTAAAATATGTTTTTTTTTTAAACGTATTGCTTGAAAAACAATTACAAATCAACATCAGCTTCAGCTCGCAGTGTGCGCGGCTGCAAAAAGCTCCGATCGCTGATAAGCTTTCCGCGGATAAGCTCTCAGCCGTCAGCTCCGCTTTCAGCTCGTAGTGTGCGCGCGGCCTTACATAGGAGGAATGCTCTTTAGCACTTTGGTTTTTGTAATAGAGATTCTCTATAAGAGATATTATGGCTAGAGATATTAGATATAAGTATTTAGATTTAAGCTTTTTGAAACTATTATAAATGTCTATGAATACTCCAAATAAATCTAGCACCACCCGCTTTTTAGTAGCACCCCGAAAGGGACACCCGAATGCATAGTTTAAAGTAATGTCCTCTAATAACAAAGCAAACAGGGAGGTATTCCAAGGACCCTGCAACATATAGAAAGGGGTAAAAGCTGAAGTCGAAGAGTTACAGTTGAGTAGCAGTAGCAGCCATGGAGAGTCGCTTCTATATAAGGACTTTGGTCCTCTTCATACTCTTCTTACTTACCAAATTGATTCTGGCAAGCGGCAACCTACATATTCCACTGGAAATCGAAGATACAGATGAACATCTAGATCAGGACATTCACTCCCTTTTCGGCGTAATCGATGGATTTAAGAAGTTGGTGGGATGTTACTCTTTTATTGCATACACGGGAAACTTTTACCTGAAACCTTCACTGGAACAGCGTGTTATGGAACACTTCTCCGTGCCTATTTATACAGTGGGAACTAAAAAAGGACCTCTTAATCATCGCTATTCCACAGCTGAAAATATGGTGATTATTTTATTTAGCGTCCTGAAAGATCCCACACTGGCTGCCCTTAACGACACGGAGCTCTCCGATGGCAATCTGTTCTTTAACTTTCTGTATATTCCACCTCGAAATGAGAGTCGTGCCTTGACCAAGAACGAGATGGAGGAGTTCTTCTCCTGGTGCTGGGAACGAGGCTTCATTAACGTTTTTCTCTACTTTCGTGGCGAGTCTGAACTCGAGACTTGGACTTACTTTTACATCAACAATATAACCATCACGAGAGTCACTGAAATAAGCTTTAAGAATGTTTTGAGAAAACACGGCTTGAGATTTCTCGTGCAAGTGTCCAACCATCCTCCAATTATTTTTATGGTGAGTTTTTTAGAAGAAGGATTATCTAGTTTAAATCGTGATTAAAAATTGAGTCTTCTCCTTTGAATAGTACAACTCAACGGAGCAAGCGGATGTGATTGGTAATGGCAGTGTTAGCTTGTCCGGTGTTGTGGGAACCCTGATGGTGGAATTCATGCGTCATATGAACTCCACCATGGACATACTTCCGCCCCTGGAAGGGAAGACCAACAATAGGAACGTGGACATTGTGGCTAATGCTGTGGAGAACGGCAGCCTCTTGTATAGTCCCGTTGTCTCAGACTCGCAGATATGCCTACTGGTTCCGCATCGGAGGAAGGTTCCCTTCAACAGATATATCGACAACTTCGTTAGCGATCTCCAATGGTACTTGCTTCCTATTATGATTTTGGTCATAGTGATCAAGTACATTTCCCATCGACGCCGTTCACTGGTGGACTCGTTCTTCAGCACTCTTCGCTTTAGTCTGGGGATTCCCCTGCCCGGCGGACAGTTGCAGCGATTGCCTCTGGCGGACAAGATAATCGAGGTCTACTGCATGCTAGTCGTGGGTATCCTCGTCAGCACTTTTTCGTCCATATTCAGCAGCATTTTGACCACGGGATTCCATTATCCACCCATCAAGGATGTGGAATCGTTGCGAGCCAGTGGCCTTCGGATAACGACATACTATCACACCGATCTGCAGGCATTTAGAGACAATCAAATGCCGAGTTTCGTTGCTGGATTTGGTGGATGTTGTGGATGAGGAAACGAGTTATAGGCATTTTACTTCCCTGAACGACAGCTGGGTTTAAGTGATGCGAACGCCCAACTGGAATCGTTTGTATCAGGAGCGTTTGAAGATAAAGCGTCTCGTTACTGGTGGACCGCAGCTATGCTCGAGTGTAGGTCACCTGCGATTACCCATCTCACCGAAATCGCCACTAAGGTTTATCTTTAAGGAATATTTTCAGAGAGCTTTCGAGTCGGGTTTGCATCACAAATGGCACCTAATGGGTTTCCAACAGTTTCGGAAATTAAAAGGCATTACTCACTTGCCCAGGGAGACACAAATGGAGTTTAGACCACTGAATCTTACTTTTTACTCAGTTTATTTGAGAATTTTCGTAGGGGGAATGGTATTGAGCATTTTGGTTTTTATAATAGAAATTATTTACGTAAGATACAGGGGCTAGGAACTCCTTAATTATTTGTATTCCCAGTTTATAATCTCAATGTAAGAAACATCAGAATAATTTTTATTCCCAGTTTATAATCTCAATGTTTGCTTGGCTTAAATAATTGTGCTTGTCTTATAAAAATGTTATAAAAATAAATCCCGCACTTCTTGCGCTTTTCAGCACCTAGAAAAACTCACCTCGTAGACGGCTCCCAAAGGCATCACCAGGCAGGCCACAAAGAGATCGGCCACGGCCAGCGAGGCCACCAGATAGTTGGCCACATTCTGCAGATTCCGTTCCAGGATAATGGCCGCAATGACAAAGACGTTGCCTGCAATGATCGAGGGAAAGTGAAGAAAACTTAATCAAATGTGGAACTAGACTATGTATAGTATAAACCGTTCAGCAGCCTAATTAGGAAAATTGACTTGAGGGGAAAAAGTTTGGAATTCAATTCCAACTCGGTGCTGCAGCTGATGATGGAAAGCGAAAGCGAAACCGAAACCGCAGCGGAACGGATAAAGTTTCTCTCAAGGGGAATTGGCAAAACTTCTTTGGACCGGATAGAGAGTAAGAGAGCCGTGACCCTAAATGAAATGGGAATCTTATTAAGCTTGTCTTGCCGAGAAGGGATTGCACTGTTGCAATTCCACCTGCAGTGGCAGTTTCCACACAAAGCCCAAGACAATGACAAAGTTTGCGGAAAAGCCAAAATAAACGACATGAGCTAATCGCGCTGTCGTAAACTTTCGCCAAAAAGCTGCAGGATCAGGTTTGGGTTTTTTCTTCCTCTTTTATTTTGTCTTTTTTTTTTGGCAGGGTGTGAAATCACCTTTGATGTCTGCCAGAGCTCTAAGCGTACTTTTTTCACGTTTTTTTCTCTCTGGGCTTTTCTCCTGCTACTGCCACTACTTGTGGCCCACTTGAGGCAGCCAAAGAAAGCCAGCCACTACAGGTGCGAGACATGCAATTTGTGGCATTGAATCCGCCGACAGTCGACACTTTCACACACTCTTACATAGGGCCTGCCCGGGCCTGGAGACACACATGCAATTAGATACTTGAGTGTCAAAGTGAAGGCAAGTAGACAAGTCCCATGCCTGCCGCCAGCTGTTTTGGGTTTTTAAGTTCCAAGCAGTGGCCTCTCCTCCGCAGGGGTTTGCTCTACAGATTCCAAGTTTGGGATGGTTTTTTTTTTTGGAATTTTCTTTGTAATATAAATTAGCTTGGGAATTTGGAAAATATTTTTTAAAACATTTAAGAAGCCTAATTTTTATAGTAGAAATATGTGAAAAATATATTTTTGAGACTTATTCTAAGCAAGAATATTTTTATAAAGTTTTAAGGGTTTTAAAAGCTGTGAAATATATACATACTTTAAACTCTCTCCATATCTCTGCCTTTATTAATCCTAATTACCGATAGATAATATCTTTGACAAATGATAAATTGATTTCACATTTATAAGAATATCTCAAGTAATTAAATGTATAAATATTAAGCCAGCTCAAAAGATAAATCAAACTGCAATTAAATCAGATAAATCAGTTAAGTCTTAATCAAAACCCACTGCCCGCCGGCCTGAAAGAGCAGACCCAATCAGTTTAAATGCGTTTTATAAGTAGGTCACAAAATATTTCCCCATTAAATTCGTACATTTTAAAGCTGCCTTTGGACCTTGGTTTCGCTCTTTTTATTTTTATTTTAATGCCGCTGATGCCGCTGAGTGACCGAAAGCGTGAAGCAATCTAGCTAAAATTAGCATTAAAACTCATTAGCATTTTCTTTTTAAATGCTAAATGCTGCTGCCGACGCTGACGCTGACGAAAACTGCAAAAGTTCAAAAGCGAGACGAGAGCAAAGAAAAGGAAAACTAAAGGCAGAGCAACGGGGGGGAACGAGGGAAAGAGGGAAAGGGAAAGGAAACGGAAACGGAAGAAAGAAAAACTAAATAAACACAAATTAGTAGGAAATCAGAAATGAAAACAAGTGAGAGGAAGCGAGACATGTTGGAGATCCTTTTTGAAAGAAGGCGGAGGCGGAGGCGGCGCTAAGAATCGTAGCATACTTTGCAGCTCTCGTTGTCGTTATTTTTATTTGCCTCTTGACTTTTGTGCCCGTTTTAAGCGAAATGAAATGAAATGAAATGAAATCTACTTAAATTAATGAAATCAATTTCAGCCGGCTGCTCTGCTTGATTTTTATACATTTTGTTTGGATTTTACAACTTGAACATAAAGTTTTCCTCTCAGGCAGGGGGAGGAGTAGGAGCAGGAGGTGATGGTAGATACACTGTGATTGATTGATTGACTGTCAATTTTAATGCGGCATGTCTTTGCCTAGATGGATGCCGGTTTGTTTGCCATCGGATTTATGGCTAAATGCGTGTAATGAATGTAGCCCAGCAACAAAAGCGAGAGAGATCCATTCCCCCGGCCTCGTTCTCAATTCCCATTGCCGTTGCCTCGTTCCTCGTCATTGAGCTGCCTTATTAATAACTGAGACTGAGCTGCTTCAGCATCTGAGCCATAATAACAACAATAATAAATAATATAAAATGCCCATGCCCCCAGTATCATAAATATCAGTTACGCGTATTTTATTATCTACAACTGAAGCTGCCACCCAGGGGGAGGTTGGTTCCTTCCTCCGTTCCCTTCTCTCTCCCTTTTTGCCCTGCCTTATTGAATTGTTTGCCATATTCCCCAAGGATTTGAAGGAGGCGCGTGCCTGAGACTGGCATTCAAGGAATTTACTTTTGGATGAGGTTTTTGCGAGGGGGGAAATTCAGTTCTGCGACTGAAATAATTATGTCTATGTTTGGGCTTTGGCTTACACTTGAAACGGGAAGTTTACTAAATTTTTTAAAAACAAATTAAGGAATTTTTAATGGTGATTTTAGCTTATAAATTAAGAAAGATATATAATACTTGGCTGGATTTTATTTTAAAATATTTTAAAATTTATTTAAAGGAAATTGAATTTAAAATAAATATTTTTAAAATTAATTCCAGAATTTCCCCACTTGTTTCCCCCATTGTACACCTTATTTTTTTCCCTACCTCTCCACTTTATACTCACCAATTATTGTGACCAATATCATCAGTCCCAGCAGCACCGATGTGACGGCCATTCGCAGCAGCTGCGTAAAGTCATCCTCGGCCACTTTGCTGGTGGTCACATTAATGCCCGCACTGCCATTGACCAGATCCACTTGCCCGCTCCGATTGTTCATCATCATCTCACCAAACAGACCCGTATCGTTGCCATCGAGTAGCAGCGTGTCATTGAGCAGCATTGCTCCCAGGCCCACGGCCACATTGGTATAGTTATTGTCCATATCGATCAGTTGGAGAGCTGGCGGTGAACCCGATCCCGATCCCGATGCCTCTGCTTTGGTCGTGGTAGCTGTCGTTAGAGCCCTGTGAGCTGCCTTGGCTGTTATTCTGGCCGCCGCCGCCGCCACGGAGGCACTGGCCGCTGCTGCAGCCAAGGCGGCGGTGGCCAACGGTGAGCCAGCGGTTGAGTTGCTTGATGGTTCGGTGGGCAGGACAGGTGCCGGTACGGTAGACTTTAGTGCAGATTGAGAGTGGGGTCCCTTGAGGCGGGAACGCCGCTTTCCAGAGCTATAGTAACGCTTGCTGTTGTTGTTTGTGTCCTCTAGTTGGACAAGAGGTTTGCTGACTGTTAGATTCTCCTCGGCCTCGGATTCGTCCTGATCCTGCTCCTCCTCCTGGCCTTGGGAGCTCTGCAGCTCGGGATGGGGTTCGGCTATTAGAAAGGCCCTGTCATTCACGCTGTTGGCTATGTAAATGTAATCCAGGGCATCTTTAAGAGAAAAGAAAGTGGGTTTTGGAAGATAAGATAAACATCATTAAATTATATATTAATCTATATAAATAATTGTATATTTAATATTGTTCCCTTAAAAATGTTCTCTTCTATTTAAATCTAACCCCAATTTAACAAGCAAAAATCTCCTAAATTTCTGAGCTGCATTAAAATGTTTTAAAAACAATGACCTGAGGGTAATGTGTGTAGCTGTCATGTGTACCCACCATTAAAGCTGGTCTCGTGCGCCATTTTTGTGGATATTCGCGGTGTTCTTTTTTTTTTTTTGGTTTGGGGATGCTTGGCGTCGCTTCGCTTCGCTTAATTGCAGCCGCAGCGGAAATGAGGAGTAGACGGAAACGGAAGCGCGACTATGCAACGGCGATGGCAATGGCAATGGCCCGCTCCTGGCTCCCCATTGATGTGTGTATAGGTGTACTGTTGTTATATTTGGGTGGGGTTTCAAGGTGGTGCCGTTGTTGTTGCTGCTGTTTCATGTGATGGCGGCCACTCAGACAGGCGGGGCGGCGCATGGTGACACTTTTGCCTGCTTCCTGGGCTCCTGTCTCTCTCTATGTGTGTATGTGTGTGTGTGTTGGCAGCAGCGTGTGCTCGGTGCCGGGCAGGATGTATTATCCTAACGAGCTTTCAAGTGTTTACATGGAGCGTTTACAATTTCGGCTTTTGGCTTTCACTTTTCCTTCTTTTTTCCGACTTCCTCTTATTCCAGTTCCAGTTCCTTTCAGTGTGCTCTTTTCTTTGTTGTTAGTATTTTGTTTCTTTTTTAGATTTTCTTGTGGCAGTGTTGCTTTGTGCTTTGTGTTGATTGTTGCTCCACGACGCTGCTGCTTTGTACTCTTTTTTATTTTGATTTTTCTTAGTTTTTTTTTTTTTTTTTTGGTTTATTTAAGCTCTTCCGTTTGCTGTCGTGTGTTTATGGCTCAATTGATGAGCTATTTTCATATCCTGGAAGCAAATTTCGCATCCGATTGCCTTCTGCCCAATTGGTGGCCTTTTGGGTCGCATTCTACAATGAAAACCAATAGAAAATGGGTTAGAAAATATTTTTAAAATATTATCAAAGCGATGTTTGGTACGAGTTTCTAATATTGTAATTAATAAGTTAACGTTTCCTAATAAATAAACCTAAAAATGTATTTTTTTATAATGTTAGAGGCTGGTTTATATTTTTTTAAATTAAATTAATAAATTGTACAGCAATTAAATATTTAATTTAAGTGCAATATTGAAACATTTTTTAGTAAATAAAAATAAATTTAGGGGCCTGTACACAGTCTTATTAATTTTTATGGCAATTTATATGAACAATTAAATCTTTATCCTAATGAAAATAATATTTAGGAACCTAGTAAATATTGTAAATTAATTTTTGAACAAAAGAACCTTTTATTTGCAATATACATTACAAGCTTATACAAGTTTATGGCCCATTTTACTAGCTTGATAAAATTCTAAAAAACCTTTTTCTAATTAAAAACACACTAAATTTAGTACAATTTATATTCAAAAAACTTTTCTATACTCAAATTTTATTTTAAATTTATCTATAACTCTCTTTTAACCCATTTTTGGCAATAAAACTAAAAATAGATAATAAATCTGCGTCCCCATACCAGTGCGCAACAAATATTTAAAAACGCTTGAAATTCAATTTCTGCGGTTGATTTTTGTGCTGGAAAATAATTTCCTGTGGGTCTGCGGCATATATATGTACATACATATATTTTTCGCCTGCCGAAAATTTATTGTATTCAATTTCCTTTCCGCATTGTGCGTAAAGTGTAAATGAATTTGAAATTCTGCCACCGACGCTGATGCTGTGCCCGCTTGTTAAATAATTTAACGCAATTTCAGCAATTACACGGAATCACTTGGCACGATAAATAAATATGAAGACTGAAGGCAAGCCAAGCGTTGTTTTTTATATTTTTTTTCCTTGCTTCAGGACAGCCACTCACGCACACACGCACACACTCAAGTTCATGGCAAGGCATATCCTTACGCATACGTGTGCATGTGAGAGACTGGCGGAAGTTTTGCGTGCGTGCGACAGGCGCCATTGCCAGCGGCTCCTTACGTCTCCCCCACTTATGCCCCTTCCCCCATTCTGCACGTCCTTTTCGCAACCTCCCCTGCGTCCTTTTTGTCCCAATGTTGCTACAGAGGCAGAGGCAGCAAAATAAATTTAAAACGCATAAAATGAGAGCAAAAAAGAAGGCAAATACCCCAAGAGCGAAGCCGGGGCTTGGTAAAATGTCATCGCATGTAGTTACATGTGTAGGGTTACAATGGGGGTTAAGAAATTAGTAATAATTATGGGGAATTATGATTTAAAATATCTATAGGGAATTTAAATACACTTGAATATATTTTTTATCATTTTTTTATTGGATTTTAGAGGCTTTTTAGAGTTAGTTAAAGCTTGAAAATGCTTTTTTATTCTTGGAAAACTTCTTTAAATATTTTTAATTGTATAAATATGCTTAAAAAGGATGGATTTTTATTTCTAAGAAATATGAAAAGGTGTCAAAAGCATATATGTTTTTTTTAAAGAATTAATTTAATCATTATTTTTAATGATAATAATATGTATTTAATTTTATTCTAGGTAACCTTTTTTAAATATTTTTAATTGAATAAATATGCATAGGAAGTGTCAAAAGACTTTATGTATTTGTTAAGAATTAATTTAATGATTAATTTAATTCCTTTAAAATGTTTTAACTACCTAGTATCGAATTTAATTCCAAAGAACTGCATTTAAGTCTTACAGAAAATATATTTCAATTTCAATTCAATTTAATTGAATGTTTATATACTTTTCCTTTTATTTTAAAACCTGAAATTATAGTTTCTTCTTCTATTTAATTTAATTTAATTTAATTTTTACAAAGCTATTCCTATTATTTTACCCCCAACTGTCACTCCTCTATGTGTCTCTTACACTACTGCATAGTACACATTGCGGCGCCATAAAACCCAAAGCGAAAATGTTGCATGTTTAATGCCCAGCAAGTTTATAGTCTAGGATACCAGGATCTTGCACTCTATGGCTAACTTGCTGATATGATTTGTACTAGCCTTAAGCTGCAAGAAATAAGAGTAGTACTAGCTGCTAGTGCCACATAGATAGAGTGCGGAGTGCTTCTAAATTATGCACACAGTACTTTGTTGCTTTTTGTTTTTGTTTTTATAGGAAAAGGCAGTCAAAGAGTTATTTGAAAATTTGTGTGTATGTTGCTTTTCCCATGAATATGTTTTCCACTGACTGCACCACAGTGTTTGTTCAGCTAATTATGCCATTAAAATTCCAGCAGAGAAATAAAATGTTGAATACTATTAAAATATCATAAAGATAAACGAACGTAAACATGTTTTGGGTTTTAAATTTTACCAGAAGTACTGATACACTCACAATGTATCCAGAAAAGGAGTTAACTTTATTACACTTTAAGGCAATAATCCTGGAAAACTAGAGCTATATTTTTTGCTCATTAAAATCTCATTCCCATATGAGTTGCCAGGAAATCATTAATGGGTTTTTTCTGGCCTTTTCCTTGCCAGTTTGCACTTTCTCCTTTTTTTTTTTTTTGCATTCCTGACTTTATTAGCAGCCACTTTCGTCAGTCTTTCGTCTAGCAAATATGAATTCACATCTGCGTTTGCTTCCATCCTTTGCCTAAATAGAAAGCATTCTATTTTCCTTTTCTTGTGTTACCAAGAAAGACTCTTCCCTTTTGAATCCTTTGAGTTGTATTCCAAGCAAAAAAGGTCCTATTGCGCAGTCAGCCACCTGAACTGCAAGTTCCGACCACAATAACCTTCAAATGCCAACACATGAGCGTGATAAGGCGAGCGAGTGTGTGGCCATGTAACTAACGTTTTCAAGTTCAAAGTCGATTTAATGCGGAAGTTTATGCCAAGCCATGGGTGTTCAAGGCGAACTACAGGAGAGCTTACGTATAGGAAGCCGGATTCGAAGTTTGATTGGAAGTTTATTAATCGATAGTCAAGGAAAAGTAGTATGGTTGTATACTATAAAGAAAGGCCAAGAAGAGTTTTCAAGTCGTTTAGAAATTTGTAAGTCTGCAGAAAATTGAAGGGTTCATAAAATATGTAATTTTATTTCTCTTCAGAATTATAAGATAAGAAAAAAAGTCATATTAAATCTATATAGATTTTTAAGGTTTTTAAAATAAGTGATTTGAAATCTCTCAGGATTTTTAAGACTAGCTGAAATCTCTAGAGATTGCAAAATGTATGATTTAAGCATTCAAAAACTTTCCATAGTTAGTAATAAAAGTGATTTAAAATCTCATGAAATTTTCAGAGTAGTTAAAAATGGTGATTTTAAATTCCCTAGAGATTTTCAAATGAAGTAAGAAGTGATATGAAATCTCTAAAGATTTCAAATATTTTTAGTATGTTTCTAAACATTTTAAACACTGAATAATTTTAGATTCTTATCTTATCTAGAATAGTTTAAAAAGGTAATCAACAATTATATCCAAGTTCCCAGAAGTGCCTTAGCCATGTTCCACTGTACTGACGCTTATTTTGGCTTGCCGAGTGGAGTGTATGCTGTAGGTCCTGGGAACGTGCTTTGCTCTGGGCTCGTTTGAAGTGCAGTTAAGTGTGAAGACGACACATGTCGCTTAAATGCACACCCAGTCGCACCTGTATACCCTCCCTCCACCCCCACTCCCCCTATGAACTAGTAACCCCCCTGCCCCCCCCTCTGGCCATGGTGGAGTGCACTTGTTGCGGTTCGCAGCTTGTCCGGCAGAGAGTCGCCTGCATACATTATGCAAGTGTATGCCAACTGTTTTCGGTGTGAGTGAAAGAGTCTATATGTGTGTGTGAGTGAGAGTATGTTGTGTGTGTGTGTGTAATGTGTGAGAGAATGTCACTCGCTTTTTATAGTCGTCGAGCTTATCGCATATTTATGCAGTGTGTCCTTTGAAGCAGCGGCACAGCGCAGGACGCACTGGGCTATAAATCAACTTTGGTTCACCGCACTCAGCTCCTGACCGACCATCTCCTCCTCCTCCGCTCCAGTCGCACTCGCATTCGCATTCGTATCCGCATCGCAGCAATTACGAAAATTGCCTATCTATGCAATAGTTCTCTTTCTCCTTTTTTTTGTAGTTGTTTCTGCCTTGGATGTTTACCCTGTGCCAAGTCATAAATCAAGCAAATAACTAAAGAACGAGGGGCGTAAATTAAGTTGTAGGTGAAAAAAAAAAGATTTGAGTATAAAAATATAGAGAATGAATTATGGGAAATTGTGGTGTAAATAATTACTTAAAGGTTTTTAGATGAAGCATAGAATGTTTAGTGAGAGAATATTAAAAACTAGCTTTGTTTTAGGAGTAGATAAGAATTTTTTAGAATTTTTTTTGTAATTAGATAGAAGCTTGCTTTAATCTTATAAAAACCAAGATTATTTAAGTTGGTATTTTGCTAACGTCTGTTTTATTTTTTATTTAATATATTTGTTGCCTAAACAATCTTTTTAATATATATTTGGAACGAATTAAAATGTTTCCGAAGCAATGGAAATTCTAATAGGGATTTGGTTTACATTTTTTTTTAGATTGTAATCCATTAATATTAATTATATATATCTTTTATTGTATATATTTATATTTATTAAATAGTTAAAATTGATTTATTGATAAAAATTGTAATTTTCCGTATTTAAAAATTCCGATTTTAGGCTGTAGTATTTATTTTAAAATTATTTTTCAATAGAAAATCTTAAATATTGGTTTCAGTATTTATTTTAAAATTATTTTTTAATAAAAAATCTTACTTAAATCCAATTTCCTTGGCAAACTAGTCAGTCCACCCTTCAATGGCACATCACACAATAGTTGGGCATGCCGTTCATGTGTGCGGAGGAGGAAGTGTGTGTGTGCGGGGGTGTGTGTGTCTGCCAGTGTGTGCGGCCCATCAAAGTGCAGTTTTCCAAAAGCAAGCCAAAAGCAATGTCTCATTGTTTGC